CGGGGTTGGATGCCGCCCGGCACGCGTTCCGCCCGCCCCCCACGCCGGGTCGCGAGGCCCGAGGACGCGCGGCCTCCCACAGCGCTGCCCCCCTTTCCGGCGGTCGGGATGCCACCCGGGAAACGCGGGGGCCCCGCCCCTCAATGCACTGGCCGCGCGCTTGCCGGCCAGCGTGGCCACCCCCCGCCGGCCCCGTCTCCCCCGGAGCCCTGCCGCCCCGGCGGCCGCCACCCCTCCCCTCGGGCCGCCTGGCCAAATACACCCCGCGCCCAAGAGGCGAGCAGGACCGAAAATCGTGGCACCGCGGCGGCCCGGTGGCCGGGACTTTAGCTTCTGCCCTGACCGGCTTCCTTAAAACCTGCGGTCGCCCGGTTTCCAGTGCCTCACCCGCCTGAGAACGGGGGCCGGGCCCGGTGAGGAGCGCCATTATTCCGTCTTTTGTATGTTGTCCAATATGTAGATACGTGTTGTCGCCGAGAAGATCACGCCCCCTCGATCACGCCCGAAGCTCGTTACAGATTTAAAGTCCCCCACCCGAGTGGTTCCACCATCACCCCCGCCCCTGTGTCCGATCTCCCCCCCTCCCCCTGACTGGCCCGACACAAGTCGCGGCCCCGGCTTGTGACTGCTGGAAAGCGTTCCCGGTCCCGGCGTTGTACACACACACACACACGCCCCAGGCCCAGTGCAGGGGAAGGGGGACATCGGCAGGGGGGGAGGCCCCACGCCAACCGAGGCCCGGGAGAGCTGGAGAGGCCATCCGCTGGCATGCACCCGTCCCCGGGCCCCCGGGACGGTCCTCGCACCAGCCGGTTGTCGATCGGCCTGCCCTGCTGCCCGCACGGGGAGGCGCGCGCCTGGCGACACTCTTCTTTCTTCCTTTGTTTCCGCATGTTCGCCACACGCTGATCTACCCCTCCGCCCGGCGCCGCAGCCATTGTGTCTGCCACACTCACTCACACGGCGCCGGCCCCGGCAAAGTAGATGCCTCGAGGGCGACCCCGACAAGGGAGCATTTTGCGCGTCCATGCCATGGGCGCCAAACACGCAGAAAGTGACCACACCCTCCTTGCCCCCTTGCCTCTCCCCCCCCCCCCCACCTCCC